GAGTTTTGTTTTTCAGGAGGTATTTGGTGTCGACACTGAAGAAACTTGCTCACAAATGCCTGCAGTTGGCTTAGAGGTGGAACTCCTAAAGCACAAGGAGGATGTCTTAAGCACCTAACTTAACAAAAAGAGGACATGGTGGATATATTGGAAGTCACAAACAGCCTTCAGCTGGCCTATTTCCAGCATCAATGCCTCATGCATGGTAATGGATTTCAAATTCACTAAGAGAACACAGCTACAAAACCAAACAGGCCTTAACATTTGACCTTCTTAGGGAAAAGAAGCCTCCTATTACCAAAGAAAACTAAGCATGCCTGGCTAATTTACTGATCTTAGGGCAAGTTTTCTTTCCATGACAGAACCTGAGGAATGTGAAGCCTGCTCATCTTTCAGCTAGCATGGTTTCCTTTGGTCTCGCATGGAGTACCTGCAAATCTCCATTCATCTCCTAACACGTGGAGTTGTCCTGTCTGTCTGGAGGGCAGAAGTGGAGGGGCAAACATAACACCAGCAGCATGTTTGCCATAAGGCTTTTTTATGATTCAGCATTTCTGGAACAAAACACGAACATCAAATCAAATAATTACATGCTGTTACATCCTTGTTGCTGTTTGCTCATCCACCCACGGCCATTCCACTTAAGATTATCTAATAAACAATCTGAAGTATTTTAGAGTAGCCTGTTTTTATCCTCAGCCAAGAATAGTTAGCAATCCAGTGTTATGCTAACAATTGCAGGTCTATGACAGCTGTCTGACCCTCGACACAAAAGCCATTAATGGTTTCTATGTGACCTAAGGCTCTAATATTTTATATATTACTAAAGATGGCCATCCATAGGTGTGGAGAGCCACACTAGGCAAAGGAGAATTTCTCAAGGTGCAGAAGGACAATTCTTGTCACATGCTTTTTTAAGACATTCCTAATTTAACATTCACAACTACAGACTGGCCATAACACTTAGTCTATGGTGGCCGACACCTGATGTTCATCTTACAAAGCTTGACAGCAAGGTAAAGAACCCCTGCTAGGGGATGTCTCAAAGGAACTTTCAAATGCAACAGAAGTAGGGGCCCTGCAGATGAATCAGCTGAAGGCTGTCTCAAGCGAGCACTCTTCACTGTAGATTATTTGGCTTCCCTGGCTTTTGGCAAGCCAGTCACACCAAAACCTGTCTTTTTAGGTTTTGATTTTGAGGAAACCATCCCCATGCATCTTTGAATCTCAAAGAGCATCTTTGAAGGGCTGTTCATGGGTTTAAACTGAAGTGTTGATAAAACTTTCAGTGAGGATTATCTTGCAAAAATGAGGGCTTCTGGAAAAAGTATCGTGAGAGTTGTTTTGTGTTTAACGTCCATGTCAGTGGACTGCAGGCGAGACACATCTCTTATTGCTATATTAAGAAACCATTCAAAACTTTTAGTTGAATGTAAAGCAAAATAAGTCTTTGTTTTAAGGAGTATGTTTGTTTTTGTGGTAACCCAGGCTGCGTTCAGCCAACGAATGCAGTCTGAAATAAAGCACATTCAATGTATGTTTCAATTTGTATGTATGCAAAATGCCCCTGTCACGCATGGGGTTGTAATGCTACAGGTAGAGAGGTCTCAGGCTGACTATAGCAGAAGCGGCTGCCGGTGTTTTAGATCTTGTACTAAGAAGGAACAGGTGGGTCATGACGTAGCTTATGAACCCCAAATACAGAATACAGTCACATTATTTTAATAGAGTCCCTGTCCTAAAACCAATATTGTCAAATGGACTGCAAGGGAACAAACCGTCCTCAAAATCTGATATCCACCTTACCAGCAAACATCAAGTCTTGCAATGAGAAATGAACTGCAGTCCAAGCTGAAAGGAGAGCTCCAGGCAACCGCTCGATTCTTTTTCTAGGGAGGGCCCCTGGCACTTAACAGGGAAGCATCTGCATGTCTCTCACAGAAGCTGACCATGTCATGTCCTTACTGTAGCTGTACTTGTGCCCAGTCTTTAGCCAGCACCTGTTTGCACCCCGTTGATGGGAATAGGTTGTGTGAAGATGCCAGACTGTGCCTGGGTGCACAGAGGAGAAACACTCACCCTGGCCTTTTAATGTTTGAACAGCTGTCCTGGATTTGCCAGAGGATGTCTGACAGTCGTTAAAAATTGATCCCTGAGTAAACAACCCAATGCTATTTACTCCAATTCAGCTGTGATAATTTACACCATCCGAAGACTGCCAGTCCTAATCCTGAACTGGCAAATCTCTGTGATGTTTGCTACTAACTTGAACAGAGGGATCCCTGTGGCAAGGGAAGTGCAATTGTGCATTACTGCCACAGTGCACTACTATTCAATTGAAGGAAGAAAATGCAATTTAAAATAGAAAAAGAATTAACTCAGATTGAAAATACTAACTGCTAGCAGCATTCCCAGGTTTGTGCAAATGCAGGACACCTGTGTGCAGGTGTACAGTATAGATACTGGTTACATGCATGATAATAATGGAACTGATAGGCACTGACAGAGGAGAGGTAGGGAGTGTAACCTTCTCTTTACTCTAGTCATTTTCCTAGGATTTTTTTCCCCTTTGCCCAGTGCTATAGAAGTACCTCAAGGAAAACTAATTTTGAAACATTTTAAAGGGAAGGAAAACAGTACAGTCATCAGGGTGGCAAATCTTCTAGAAAAGTGTGATGTCCTCCCAACTCCGCTTGAACAAAGTTAGCTATATCAGAGATCCTGCTTCAAATGAGTACTTCATCTGCTTTACATGGTGAAGTGTGGTGACTGCTCGCTGTCTACTGGTCCTTTTCCTCTATTTTACTGCTGTTGACTTACCAAATGACAGACATCTAACTTTCCTCATTATGACATTATCTGTTGCCTTGCCATTCCTACTCTTCAAGATACCACTTCCATCTCTTGACCTTGTTGTCTTCAAAACACCTGGAACAGAAAAGAGACACATGTAGATGATCTGATTTACCAGGATGAATTTTGTGTTAAACTGGTGATTGCTTCTCTGTGCCAGTACAGCATTTCCTGGCATTAATTCTCAGAACAAGAGCACAGAAAAATTGCTAGTTAAATAAATATTTAAGATACGTCTATGGTAAATCTCTGGAGTTTCTAAATGGTTATGAATCAGAACTTCAGGGCATGTGGAACAGCTACTTCTTAATGCTTCCTGATAAAATTCAGAGAAATACTAATCCTTGCAATAGCAATCAAAATGTTGGCGATAGGCTCACATTGCTGTAAACCTGTGTGATCCAGTTATCTTTTTGTCACATTATAGGAAAATAGCCTGGAATTAATCAGCATAGCTCTAGTTTTCTGGTATATGCTCACTTTGAAGAAGTCAAAACTAATGCATAGGGTTGATTAACAACAAACCTTCCCCTGGTTCCAGTAGCAAGGCTCTCAAATCATATGTAATGCAGCAATGGTTTTCTTTAACTTGGGCTGGTTGAGGTAATTTCACGTTTGGTATAAATGATAATGATGTTAGACACATCGACATCACCACACGCTTATAGAAAGAACATACAAAAGCACAGTGACACTTCACACAGCGGCTGCACACGAGACACTCACAACTTTGGAGTCCGATGCTGCGGAGCGCTGAGAACTCTTAACTCTCATTAACTCAATGTGAGTTGAGAGTTTGGCTTCGTGGTTTGGGTGCTCAGCCCTCAGCGGAGGCTCCACACAACCAGAAATGTCACCAACGTTCACGTCTGACCCGACAGCAATTTCTCGTTTCTAGCATGCGCGTTTCTAATCGCTGGATTAGTAAAACTGGCAGATGATCACAGTAATATAAATGATTTTCTGGTCCTGAAGTGCTCTGAAAGTTAATAAAGCTCACTCACCATCGCCTACAGATTCACAACACACCTTAATGGAATAATGCAACGAGTACAACGCAAGTACAGTACAGAAGATGAAGAAAGGTTACGAAGGGATCTTGAATATTGCTGTTCCTGAATACAAGCAGTACAAGGTGTGAATTACTTCTCTGAGCTGGATGCAGGAGTTGGTCTGTGAACTACACAGCTCAGCTCTCATTCAGCTTTGCTCCTGATGCTTTGCTTCCCACCCTTTTCCTCCAGCTGCTTTGTGCGCCCTCATCCTGATTATTTTCATATAGGCAATCCTGCTTCAAATTGACATCTTAACAGTTTTCGACTGAAATTAGCTTGTTAAAACAGTTTTATAAACTTTTTATCACTGCAAGAACGTGATGGAAGGGCACAGCATAAAAAACAGCACTTTGAAGATCACAGGTCAGCTCGAAACTTTCACAAGTGCGTTTCCTTACAGCATGTGAGGCTTCTTTCCTCAAGTAGCTGAACATATGAAAATTTTCATGGCACCCTTGAACTGCATTCACTGTGTGCAATCACAATTTTTATTCAGTTGCAGGACTCTGGGATCCATCCATGTCTTGTATGCCCATGAGTCTGTCAATATAAGGGCACATGAATTGCATGTGTAAAACCTGTTTCCTTTTCTTTTTTAAATCCTGAATGAATAAGGCAAAGTCAAATTTAGGGAACAATTAACTTTGTCCCGCTTTATCAACTGCTGGGCAGATTTTGCAATTAAAAACAGACATAGAACTATTCCTTTCTTGTTTAACAACATTTTAATTTCAATAAAAAGTGGCTTTATAGTTCAACATTACAAAAATATGTCACCTTGACCCTCTTCCCTCAGGGAAGCTTTCAAATTTAAGGTATGAAGAGGAAAAAAATTGGGCTGGTGGATGCTTACTGTAAAAAAAAAAAACTTGAGGGATTCCCTCCCTGCTTCATCATCACCAGATGTTTTGCAGCGGAAGCTTTTTTTCCAAAAGCCTACAGAAGGTACCCTTTCTCTTACAGCAGGTGAAACCACATGGGCATATGCCATCACCAAATCCTTTTAAGCTGAAAGCAATGGGAACGACACTAAAATGACTGAGTCGAGCACTTCTCCAACTTTGCATCAAGAAGGTACAACGTAAGCAATGATAAAGTCAGTAAACAAAATTTTACTGTAATATTTCATAACACAGATACTGTATTTCTCTTTGAAGTGTAAAGCTACCGTCTTACACAAGAAAGATGGACAGACCCTTTTCCAAGACTAATATGGATACAATAAATATGGAGTTTTACATACTAGATCTGTACACAGAAACTTTGTCCCACAGCCATAAAAATTTACATTTAACAGTGCAACATATAATTTAATCATTTATTTATCTGACATAAGATGTTTACTTACTAAACACAAGCAACTACCTGGGTTTAATATACATATTTTATATATATATATTTTATATATATATATTCAACAATCTGTACAGGTTTCTAAACATAAAACTCCAAAAAGGCACAATCGTCTATACAACATGTACAAAAATGGCTGGAGCTGACAAGAAACAACAATTATTGGTCAAGAGTTCATGATTGCACAAAGATTAGTAATGGGTTTGTGTCAGAAAAATGTGCTTTAAGGAAAGGAAGGTTTGCAAAGAAACCTGTAAGTGTTATAAAAAAATAAACACAATGGAAAACAAAAACTAGGTTGCTATTATGAGTCTATCCTCATCGTCACTGCTGCCATCACTAAACTGCACCGTATTTTGCCTCCGGGGCAATGCTGCTGGCCTGTGTACCTGTCTATCCGGAGAGACAGTTCGATGGACCGGGGACTTGGTTAAAACGTCAGAATTCACCTTTGAGCGGGGCTGTACCGGGGAAGCCCTTTTGACCTGAACCGAAGAGACGTCGCACTTTGGCTTACTGAGGTTGGCGAGGTCAGTCTTTTCAGCATCACCTTTCCCCTGCCCATCGAGTCTTTCATAGTCGCTCGTGGGGGCAGGCTCCGCAAGGCTCTTCACGCTGTACCGCTGGCCACCGGCAACCACCTGAGGAGAAGCAGCCCCGGCCGCGTGGCCCACGTCAGGGAAGCTGGCAGGAGCTGGCTCTTGCTGGACGTCACCAGCTTTGCTGCCTGAAGCTGGTGGTTCGGAGGCTCCTTGCCCATCCGCGCTGACCGGGCTGATGGAGGGGATGAGGGTGGGCAAGGCAATGTTCAGTATCTGCAGGCCTGGGATGTGAGCCTGAGGGCTGGGCTTGCCCTGGGGGGTAGCGCTGGCAGTCAGGACCTGGAGGCCCACGGCATTCAGAGTGATTCCAGGAGGGCGCATCTGTGGGGCTATGTTCGTGTTTGTCAGGCCTAAGATGTTCACCGTCTCCATGCCCAAGGGTGGGAGAGGCTGCAAGCTGGGTGTGCTGAGACCCTGGATGCCTGGCACGTTGATCTGGCCAATAGGAATACATGGCACCACGCTGTTCACTTCGGCAACCCCAATGGGATTCGTGGCGGCAGCCGAGGCGGTGCAACCCACCTCGCCGAGGCCGCTCGTAGTTCTGTGGATGACGCCGACGGCGGGAATGGTGAGTTGCACCGGGCCAGCTTGAATGGGCACGAAGGTGGAGTAGGTGGCCAGGCCGGCAGGGACCACTTGAAGCCCCCCTACCGGCACCATGCCGTAGGGCGCCTTGGCCTGCTGCTGAGAATGCAGCGGAAGGTGGCTGAAGAGGTGAGTCTGGCTCGGCCTCAGCTCGGCAGAGCGCAGTGGGGCGCCGGGCAGCTTCTCCTCCTGGATTTCGGTGTAGGGCGATGCCGTCGCGGTCCGCAGGCTCTGCTCCGCGGGCGAGGAGGGAGAGGTGGCAGAAGGCGTGCTCTGGGAGAGAACGAGAGGGACGTGTTAACAGGATGGTTGCTGCTGCCCCCAGGTTACATGGAATCTCGAGGTTGCTTGGCGTGCTGCCCACCCCCTCACACTTCGTTTTAGATGAAAACAACAACAGACTGGTTCACGGTAAATGCTGCCCAGCTTGAACAATGAACTGATTTCCTTCCTTTCTTTTTCCAACTCCTTCCTCTCCTACTAATTGAATTTTCCTCTCATGATTATCCTTGCTCGTTTCTCTTCAGCACAGGACTCAAAAACATTGCTGAATATCCTCTGTACGTGGCTGTTTTTTCTAAAGGAGGAAGGCAGCTTTGGAGAGCTGTTTATTGTGAAAATCACCTCAGGCAAAAATGTTAAATAAGCCGGCACTTCTGATACACCAGATTCACTTAGCAGAGGCACTGCAGCCTCAGGAAGGCAGGGATAGCATCACAACCCGTTTGCCCATTTATTACCCTAGCCCAGAAAATGGGTGACAAGAGAAGGATGATAACTGCAGCACCCACTGAGGCTGAGGTGATGGATGGACACTGGAATGAGGTGTGAGACCCACATCCCACAGCTGCCCCATCTTGCCTTGGTTTGGTGCACAGACCTGGACAAACAATTGTATTATATACTCTCTTTTCCTCTTATGTAGACTCTTTTACTGGCCAAGGCTAACAACTCCTTTCCTAAAAACACCTAAATCAAGAAATCTTAAACTGCAGTTGAAGTCAATTTTTGATTTTAGGCCTGCCTGTAATACAGAAAGAACAGCACAACTTTATTTGGTTTACAGAGTCCTAAACTGTAATTCAGTGGCTTTGACCAAAAAATTTCTCAAAAAATCTCTGGAGGAGGCACAAAAACAAATTACCAACAAAAGTTTTTGAAAACAGCTAGTAGGAAATGTACTGGTTAAAGGTAAACAGAATTTATTGACCATGCAGTGTCATCTATTCTACATGGGAAGACGTGTCAGAAGGAAGTGAAAGTCTTTCTCAGGACTAAGTGGTGTCTGACATTTCACTAGAAATCTTCATAAGCTGGTTCGGATACTTTTGAAAGAACATACAGCCTTCCTGAACTTTCTCAATCCCTTGTCTCAACGGCAAGAAGTTGGATCCACAAACATGCACGATGGGAACAGACTGCAGATTAAACATCAGAACCACAGCTACCACTTCCTCTGACTGGGAAAGGAGGCAGTCTGGTATGGGATGACTGCCTTTTATCACTTACATGCCTTTTTAATATTAATGTGGAGAATTGTTAGAGTTATATAAATTTAAGAACTTTCCACGATTTTGTCTGTGTGAATATTTTCTTGATCCTTCAGTAGTTCTGTCTGATTAAGAGAGTAAAATCAGTCAAATGCCTTCTTGGTATCTATGGATAACAACTGGACACACAACACAAATATTATGGTCCTACCTTTTGTGACAGATGTCTGCAGCGACCAGAGACCACTACATCTTATTCCCTGTCATGCTACAAAACTGCTCCAACTCATACTTGCCACACGGCACTCACAGTTCTCACAAGCAGGAATGACGATACGTCAAACAATGAAACGCAGCAATAATTTTTACTGGCTTTCCTTGCCAACAGTTCATTATCTAACTCTTTTAAAAAAACCAATTCAGCAGTAGAGATTTTCAAAGAACAAGTCACTAAGTACTTGAACTATCATCAAATCTTTACCTGCTGCTTATGATTTTGAACATTTCCTGCCGCTTATTTTTCTGTAACTGCATGCATCTCTGCTGAAGTCATCACAGACAGGGAGGTAATTACTCCCCTACTTAAAACTTTGCAATATTTTGCATCGTATTTTTCTGGGCATTACCCTGGGAAGCCTTACTGCCCTCATGGTCACAGTAAGAATTCAAAACTTTCAAAAGATATCATTAGGGTCAATGAAGTATATGATTTATGCTGTCCCCATTAAACTCCATTAGAATACTGCTGAACTGTAAAATGCTTAAAACCTGCTGGCTCCCTGTAGCTTTACAAGCACTGGTTGCAAATGTTACTGAATACACCTGCAGTCTTGCTCATCGACTGCACCTTTCCACATGTCTGTCTGCCCAGAATAGTGATGGGCAAAAATGATCCTTTTCCTATCAAAATGCTCCTTCATTTGGAGAAAAACTGGGAGCAGTGGGAACTCAGATCTCAGATCTGTGCTTCTATCTCCTTTTGTTATTCTGCAAAGGCAATCCCTAGATTCCTTGAACATATGGTGCTCATTCTAAATTTACTGTCAAACATATTTGGGGAGAGATAAGCAACTGCCCAATTTTTTGTACAGCAATAAGGCAAAAATCTTTGGGACTAGATTAGTCTTCCCTGGGAGTTACCAATGATTCCACCGTTGTATTTCAGAGTAAAGTGACTTCTGAATTACATCACTTTCCACTGAAAACTTCATGACCCCCACCATACATTCATTCTACATATCTGTAATATCCAATCTCATTTGCAATACATCCTACTAGCTCCAAACTTCATCTGAAATGACTGCATTACAATTAATCCTTTCAGAAACGATGCAGACAGAATTACAGAATTTTAAAAAGTTGTGCCAGTGCCACTACAACACTGCTGTCTCTACAGTCTACACATTTGTGCTTCAGCTATTTTTCAACTCTTTTGAAGCATGAGCCAACAACACTAAGAATGAAGGGCTAGACCTGTGAAAAATCAACGACATGATCTTTAAACAACACTCTGACCCCCAGAACTGGACTCCTACCTTTGTAAGGATTGTGGTTGCTACCGAGGAGTGGGCCACAGTTGTTTCTGGATCGGGGTAATCCACAGACATATGGCGACCTGGAGAAGCAGGAGCAGAGTCCGCCAGTGCAGTACCCGCACTGTGGGGACCAGCTCCTCTCTCCTGGGCTTTGTCCTCGTTTTCTTCCTGGTGGGTAAACTCTGCTGGTGACCTGGAGGTCCTGCTAACTGACTGCGCTGCGCTAAGGACAGTCATCTTGGTGAGCAGTGCTTTTGGGAGACCATCCATGGAGTCCGTGTGAATCCCACCAAAGCAGTCCGGCAGTCTGCTGTCCTCATCAGCGCTTGTGGCATCCTGCAGGCTGTGTCGAGAGGGGTGATGCTGGGGGCTGGCCGTCACCGAGGGGGTTGTGGATAGGACTGACTCAGCTTGGCTATCTTCATCATCATCTTCATTGTCATTTTCATCTTCATCCGCACCATCGGATTCCTCCGCATCAAACCCTGACCGATCACAGCCCAATCTTTGCTTCTCACCTGCAAAAGCAAGCATCGGAAGTTAAGCCAACGAAGGTTCCAGATTGATTAGGAAAGAGGTAGGAGGGAATGATTAGAAATGCCAAAAAAATGCATGCCATGTGCATCTTTCAACTTCTTCCCACGTCATCAAAACAACAAGGAAGATTTTCACTTTTGTTTTTCAGCACACATATTAAGTTATGCAGTTACATAATCTTTCATCTCCCGTTTCCTGTTGCTTTCCACCTTCTGGGTTTGGTTGTTCTTTTAAGCCATTTATAGCCTTTTGCTCAAAGTCACCCTTCGCTCTTTCGCTGGGGGAGAAGTGAGCAGATTCCTGCTTCATTAAGCTCCTAGTGACGACACGCGAAGCTCGTCTGCCAACCTTCACAGTGGGATACTCTCTAGCTGGTTCTGACTCATAAGTGGGTGTCCTTGTACCCAGTATGAATCACTGCTGCAAAGGGTTTTGAAAGATACAAACAGAAAGACTGGAGGCTGTTAGTCAGGAATCTGTCTCGTTAGCAGGCAACAGAGACCAAATTAGACCTTTCCAGATTTCTCACTTTGTTCACGTTTTGAAAGAATTATGAGCAAGTCACCCGAGATGTCCTGGGAGACAAGAAAGCCCTAATCCTATAAAAACTTACTTATGCATGAAATTTTACTCCTAAGAAGAAGCCTTCCTGACTTCAACTCTTAAAGTCAAACTGGTACAGATACTTTGTGCTGCCTGTAGGTAAATTTTTCTACGTAATGCAGTTCTACTGCAGCTTTTCTCCTTCTTTTATACCACAACTTGGAAAGAGAAAATCTTCTTTAGTAAAGAGACAAAATCCCATCTGCTGTATCTGATTCCAAGCCAGACTGTCTGGGATCACATTTTATAAAAAGACAAAATGCTTTGGATGCGCTAATATTTCATACTTGATTAAAGGTCTGTCTGCTGAGCTCCCAAAAAAATATCAGCATAAAAATCATTTGGCTCTGCAAAAGGAGGGATGGCTGGTTAGCCAAAAATGTAGAGATTCTGTTCTGGGGAAATCTGCACAGCAACTTATTATCAAAATGAACGACTCTGGAAAAAAAAGAAACCTTTTCAAGAAGTAGAATGCATTACAAATACATTAGGCTGCTAAGTTACCAAAACGAAAATAAGCATCTTGAGCTGTAGGTAAAATAAATGGGTTTAATTGAGCTACCTCTCAACAAGCTACCTACCATTATAAGCCTTTATGGTTTCAAATGAGCAGTGCAATTAGGAACAAGACTAATAGCTTCTTTGAAAAAATCCCTCTGTAATGATTTTGCCCCTCTCTTGCCTACACAGTAATTTGTACATTAACTAAATATGGAAAATATAGATTTTCTACATTTTCTACAGCAGGCATGAAACCAAAATGTTATTAAAAAATACGTTAAACCCTGCAGATCATTGGAATAATGCTAACAAAAATATGGTTTAGGATTTTACCCAGTCTTCATTTATAACTGTCATCTACAAAATCATTCAAAGAAGAAAATACATAATTTGTTCAGCAGCGTTTTGTCTTCATTTCTGTCATTTCCATTCCTCATTTCTTGCTGTTTAATACTTCTTGATAATTAATATGCAAAGCAGAACAATCTATGAAGTTAGAATGCTCACATATGTTTGAGTTCTGAATGGAAATAAATTCCCTCAATGCCTCTGTGACAGATGTCACAAATTGCTCTGTGTTTTACATCTAAAGGGTGACCTATGCATTTCTTCCATCTTTTTAAATACTGCACGAGGCATTGCAAAGTCTTGGGTTTCATGCTGTAGTTTTTATTGGATCTCTTTGTAGGTTACTCTTCTCCTTACTAACAACACACATCTATCTCCTCTCAGAAACTGTACTGCTTCTTTTTTCTCCTTCTCTCTAAACGAATCACCTTTTCTATCAAGTCGGATGGCCATCACAAATGACTGTTTCCATTGGCAAAAGAAACTACTTGAAGTAATTAGACTGACACCACATTTTTAAAGCAGGCAAAATATATGCCTGAACATGCCCTGATTTAAAGTAAGAAATCTAATTTTCAAATCAGCATTTAGAAACACTACAAGATTTACTATAAAACCCTGCTTATGCAGAGCATTTTCTGCATTCTAGAGGCCTTCTGGAAGGAAAACATGGAAAAGGAGAAGGGGAACTATGCGTGGGACACAGACTCCTTAAATGCAGTGCTCTGTGGGATATAATTTCCCTCTATTGTTTCTCTGTTTACCTCCACCCCTTATGAGTTTGCCAGCTTCTATTTAAAAGTGGTTACCTGGGGCCAGAGCCTGCAGAGTAGGCGAGGTGACAGCAGTGAATACAGCTCCCTTACTCCCACACTGCTCTGAAACATCAGATGTGAAAAACAAAGCACTCCTGACTTGCTTGCTCTGGCAATGTGAAAAGGACAGCTCTGCCTTCTATACTTTTGTGTGCATCCAGTGAAACAAGAGGTGCCCAGCTTTTGTAGTCAGTCATCCCTTTAAGCATCACTGTACACCAGTGCAGGTGTTAGTGAGTTGTTAGAGGATCTGAATCTGCAGTTTAAGGAGGTGGCAAAACCAGGCATGGTCTACTTGAAAGTGGTATCTGGGCTGTGACCACACACGGTGACAGATTCTTCCTAAGTACCATCTTAGGATACCCTAGGAGTGCTGGCCCAGCTCCATTTTGATGATTCCACTCTGCCTACAAGTTACCTTGTTTTAATTAGGCTTTAATTTTTTTTTTTTTAATTAGGCTTTTAATTTTAAGTTTTCATTAGGAAAAAAATAATTCTTTGCTTCCTGTCTTAAACTATGCACAATTACAACTATATGATTATGTAGCTGAAATATACAACTAGAACTCAGTTTCCAAATGGAACTACTGTTCCATTTGTGTTCAACTTTGTACGAGGCTGTGGGATATGTCATGAATTCAAGGGCCACCAGCACGTGAGGAAATGGCTTTTGGTGTGAAAAGTCCCAGATTTTTCTGAAAACAAAACCAAAACCAAAAAGCAATAGCAACAATAATTAAAAACAGGAAAAAAACAAACAAACCAAAAAAAAAGGTAGGAAAAACACTTAGTAAGGAAGAATGCTTTTCTTTCCTTCAATGCATGCCTGATCCAAAGCCTCTTCAAGTCATTCTACCATTCATTCTACCCTTCAACATGGACAAAGTAGTTGCCATCAGCAAAGCACGCTCCCAGTGGGGCTCCCAAAGCACTTTCCTGGCTGTGCTGACTTCTCTCATTCCTACCCTTTGCTTTGAGAGCTTGCAAACATTACTGAAAATGCATATCCATGCATATCCTACGTGATCTGAACCTGTAATTCCCATGTCTCAAGAACAGCCAAAAGCTGTTATGCTTTCTGAAGGCTACTTCTCTTTCAAATCTTAGCATTTAAACAGAAAAACCATTCAAGACAGCCTCAATCTTTGATAAAGAGTGTTTCTGAAAAAAGAGGGAATGTCTCCCATCTTCAGTCAGCTGCAATCTTTTCTTTTAAACCTTTAGAATGACTTCTAGGGCTTCACAGGAGAATTTGGAGAGATCTGCAAGAACACTTTTATACTGATATTTTACCCCAAAGCAAGAAAGAAAAATTTTGAAGTTCTTTAGCACAATAGCATTAGTTGGAATTATCAGCACCCTAACATGTCCATTAGCAAACTGCTTTTTAAGTCCATGCACTGCTTTTCCTGTGATGCTATTAGGTAACTGATACAGGGATCTCTATACAATTTAAAGTTGTTTTTTTTTCCTACAGGAATCATTAGTGCACATGCTTTTACCAACAGTCATCTTGTCACTGCTATACCACAAAGTACCAGAGCAAAGTATCAGACAGGTCTTCAGCATCTAAACTTACAGCTTGTAATTGTAATAGAGAGAGAGATTCATATATTAGTCCATCACATGACCTGAATCATCAGGCCCTACAGATGAGCCATTTCTGCACTGGTTACAATGACATTAAGTTCAATGGCTTTTAAGTTGATCATAATCAGGTAGATTTTCTGAAGAAAAGTAAAATGTGCATTCTACTTCTTTCACTGCCAGGAAAACCTGGAAACACACGTCTAGATTGCTTAAGTTTTACAAGTATATGAGTAAATGGAAAAATGTATATGGACTAACTGTAGTTATCACTATTAGCTCTGTTTACACTGATTAAAGATATATCTTATTAAGTATCTGTTTGTCTGTCCACTAGCTTTTAGTTGTATAATTAGTTCCATAATGGATTACACTAAATTTGATGGCTTTTAGCACCAGAGTAATTCAAAGCAGGACTTACCAGATCAAACTGTGTAGTTATCTTCAGTTAGGGATTAATACAAAATTTATATACTCTGTGAGCATATACAGTATCTAGTAATGCATGCATTTGTTCTCTTTCTATGTATGTTCTTCATCAGATGTAACAATATATATATATACACTAGGGCAAGGAAGGCAGACATATTTTGAGTATGGCATCATATTATTGTGAACTTGAAAATAAGGTCTGTACATCAACACACACTCTGTTTTGCTAAAGAAATACAAGCTCAGACTTGCCTTTTGCCTATCGTATTAGTCTTATAGTGGACAGTTTCACAACCATTCCAACAAATTTAAAAAGAAGTGAGGGTAAACAAAGTGCTGTTGGGTGAAACAACATTAGCACCCACATCCAAACTCTCCGTCTCCTTGACTTTTCAACTGTGCTCACTGGTTTTCATTGACTGATTTCAGTCTTGCTTCAGCTACTGTTTGTCCAGTGCTCATCATCACCACGCAGGACTCACAGTGACATCTACTGGGTTAAACTCAGACTGGTAACAGCCACTGCTTCTCAGAGAAGAGGGAAAAAAAAGAAAGTGGGCTTTTGACTTTCACCCCTATGAGTGTGGAAAATAACTAGGCAAAACTAAACGAGAAAAAATAAGAGCAATCTCTGTTGCTTAAAGAGATTATTTATCCCTGAATCCTCCTGGGTATCCTATACATTGTAAAGCCACCCTAGCATTAGCTAGTCTACTCACAGGCTGTAGGTGTAAGGCTCCAGCATACTTAATGTATATCTAGTTGAAGATAAGGCAGTGCTATTAAAAATTAAAAAAAAAATAAATAATTAGTCATGTGAGTTACACAGACCCAGCCTTCCACTCTACTTGCAAAAGGAGAATATCACTGTAAGAATTTCCATTTATTTTTACTTCTTATACGCAGGTGCAGTGAAAACACAGACTGAGTCATGATTAAGCTAATGAAGAGCCATGGAAACTAATTTAATGTCTGCTGTGATAAGTAAGGTATAGCTAATTAACTTAGAAACACTGTGTCTTTAGAAGGGTCTATTTAATACTGCAGAAAATGAAAGTTTAAATATATATGTAGTTGTATATATGTAATATATATATGCATACATATATGACACCCATCTGAAACTTAAAATTAGGATTTTTTACAGGTAATGTACTGATCATTTCTAGATAACTTTTTTTTCCACAGAGACCACTTAAACAACTTCTCCACATCTAAAGATTTCCTTGATAAATAACTCTACTGTTTACATTTATTCAGGCATACTCTACCATTCACATATTAACTTACATGTGAAACATAATGGGTTCAAGCTTAATAACTGTTTTAATTCAAAGACAAATTGTTGTTTTTCAGACTGAATAGCAAGACATCCAGTCACCATGGCAGAAGAGGATATCCCCAGTTGCAGTCCGTCACACTAAATAGTTCACCTCGCCTGACAATTTAATTCAGATATTAACATTCCTTACATTGTAACCCTGTATTTTGGTGACAAGAACATTCCACAGAGCAGAAGATGAAAGATAAGTGGATGAGGGAATGGTTTTGAATACAAAACCCAGGCCAGAAAGTATTTACTAATACCCAAATGATGACAAGTCCAAACACAAAGAATGCTATGTTAAAAGCTCTGATCACATATATTGTCAGACAGCTAGAGAGCATCTCTTTATTTTTCCCTCGATGTGACAGCACAACCAAATTTCAGCTTCTCAAGTTACTGAAAAAGCAGGCTCTGTGTTTACATGCCCGTGTTCAGGATTGTGCACTATTCTGCACTCCTTACTCAATATGCTGATGTTATTAATCTGATTACAATCAGGTCAAAGCTATCTTCTGATGTCAATCTGAAAAATGATATATTCCAATCATGACAGCTTGTGCTTAAAAATCATGTGCAAAATACTTGCAGAACTGCCAAATTCCTTAGTAAATAAAAGGCTGACGGCTTTGTTAAATTTATGGCCAACTCTCCAAAATTAATTCTTTAATTCCACGTCTGATAGAAGAAATACAACTTAGTAATTTAAAGGAAAGTTGTAGATACTGCTATTGCCATCAGAGAATAATCAGCATTTGGGTAAAAAAAAAAATAGTGACAGACAGACATTCTGTGGGTCAGGAAACCAGACAAACATGCACAGCTTATGGGAAAGAACAAATTTTATTTCTGAGGTCAGAATTATTTCCTACTACATTTTCTGACATTCCTGCACACCATCTCCCGTTGCCTTTCAACTAGGAAAAGCCATCAGATCCAGCTGACTCTGGCTGCCAAGGGCAAGCTCCTTTCCCAAGGCCAGCCCTGCTGCCAGAGTGGGGCTGCCTGGGTAAGGGGACCGAGGGATGGTGCAAGGAGACCACCCACACACCTCAAAAAAGCCCCCCACTCACTTGTGTTCAAATGTGGCCAAAAAATTAGTATTTCAGAGAGCGCAGCAGAACCACCTATATTTACAAAGCTCACATGGAAATAATTCACACTTCTTTTTTTTCCCTCCTCTTTGCCTTAAAGATGGGCCAACAAGCAAGTTTCTGAGTTACCCAGAGAAACACCCTCCAGCATGGCTAGGTGAGGTGAAAGATTCAATCACAGTTTTTAAATGTTGAGCTACTCATTGAATGTCTATGGATAATTGTAAATGCACTGTGCTCTGTGGTAACTGGAAAGGCTGGACTGGTCTAGCTGGGACAGATGTGTTTACCATGGGCTTAATTACCCTGCCTCTTGGATGGGACTTTCAGTGCCGAGCTTTGTCCTCAACAGCTGGTTTTCCTGTGGGGTTGGACTTGATGATCTCTGGAGGTCCCTTCCAACCCCTACAATTCTGTGATTCTGTGGGTATCCGAGTCGGATCATTTAGAGAAGATAGGGACTTTATCACTAAGTTGTTTTTTGTTTCTGAGACAAAAAAGGAAGTGTTACCTGTTTTGCTCTGAAAAAAATGCACTGCAGCCTTACAATTCAATATCTGAAAGAACTTCGTGGATTTACATGGCAAATCCTAGTGATTGTTTGCATTGCTCTGTGGCTTTTGTTTATTTCTCTCCAAAAGATTCTAACTTATTAATTACTGAAACAAAAATTATATATCTGGGAATGTAGTTTATTTATAGGATAGTTGCACACAGCTGTAATAAACCATTACATTGCATGTAAGGACTCTCTGTCTTTCAGTCTTAGAGCCAAAGAAAAGCAGACTTTCAACAACTGCTTGAAATGGCTTATTTCTATAGGGTATTACTGATAATTTGTTAACATTTGGAGCGTTTACCATGATACTAAACTTATGTCAATTGGAAATATCAACTTATCGATCAATAACATGGTTTCATTGCCTAGGAAAAAGATAAAGCTGGTGTTAATTACTTAAAACCAAATTAAACACAGCTTCAGAATGGTGCTTACAGGAGTCGCGACAACTTTTCCGTCATGTGAAGGCTGAAAAGGTTTATGAACACTGTTTGTGTTTGAGGGAAGGATCACAAGCTGCTTACTGTTGCTTATCTTCTGTGTTATTCTTTCTGGTACCTCAATTGCAAAGGAGGACATGTCTTTAGCTTACCAAAAATGAATATATCTAACAATGCTAAAAAAGGAAAAGGCAGATTTCTTGGTACCTAGTGCACTACTGAATCACACTAGTTGAGTCATCTTCCCAGAATTATTTAGAATTAGATTCAAGCCAATTCGCTTATTCTGCTAGCAGTTGTCATATGGGAGCAAGTGCATTCATCTTTCTTGCCCTTTATTCTTTAAATGAAGATCGCCACAGCTTTCTTTTCTCAAAACCTCATCTGCAATCTAATAAACTATTCCACTTCAAGAAGAAAAACACAACGCAAAGCTCACACTGCTGCTGAAAAGCAGGAGCATGTAGAAAATGCCACTGCTGCACCAAGACATGTCAAGACTCCCAAACAGAGTGTTAGCACGCAGCCCTGTCATACAGCTCACTGCATCTGGTACAGATACACATTTCTTAGCATGCTGAGCAGAATCCATGTGAACCCAGTGTGGCCCTCCTCAACTCTCCTCAATCTCACCTCCATTTCAGTAGAGCTGTTCTGGTATGTTGGAGATACAGAATTTCAACTACTAGCAAATAATTTTGATAACACTAAGAGCATCAATGGAAGAGTAGAATAGATCCAGCCGAAAATCTTTTGTTTCTACTTACTGATTTACTCCCATTCATATTTGTGAAGAAGGTCAGCACTCTACATCAGAAGATCATCAGCCTCCCTGAAAAGCCTATGCAAAGCACTCAGCAAATATTTATAGTTCTGGGTGGTGAGTCAGTAATACAATTTACAAAACATGTATTCAAAAATTTGACAATTTTATGCAAAGCTATTTTAAAAAAATCCTACATTTTACTATTTTTTTCCCAGCCAAACAGCTGTTTTTCTGGTATTTTCAATCTTCTCAGATTTGTCTGTGAAACTGATAAAGTTAAACTGCATAACACTTTGTGAAAAATTCAGCAGCAACATATCTTTAGCATATGCTCATCATTTCTTTTGGTGAAGGTTTTTCCAGTATTTCTTGCTCCCTTTCAGTACCTTCTAAGATTTTCCTCCCTGTATCTTTTTCCTGTACATTAATTTAAAAACTTTGGAAAAAAGGGTAATAAAGGGTGACAATAAAATAAATCTAACAATGCAGCAAAGAAAAGACTTAAATTCTTACCAAATTCTTCTTCTCCATCCTGGTCATCTATTAAGCCTACTGAGACTCCCAAATCCATGCACTTCTTGCTATGTGCCTTTGACTTCATATGTTTTGTCAAATTTCCTTAAGAAACAAACAAAAGCAAAAATGAACTGCTCTTTGACTACACAAATGTATGGTGATATTAACACAGCATGTCCATATCTCATTCAGCTACATTTACAACCACATACACAATTTGATTTCATATCTGGCAGAGCCTTGCCCTTCAATGTAAGTTGACAAGGGCTACAGCAGGTTCATCATCCTGAATGCTACCAGCCTCTGGCTCAGCTCTTCAGCAAGATAAAATAGAATAAAATGGAAATCATGGAAAATTATGCATTTTGCATATGTGTAAAAAAGTCATTTGTTTCTGGCAAATATGAAAGACTAATTCAGTCTTCATATTAATATTGACAGAAAACGACTATGTGGAACTAAAGTTCATATCTTGCAATTCTTTTCGTATTTTATGGATTCTATTTCAGTGCAATTATTTCCATTGCCAACTTAGACAAATACATTAATTTTATTCAAAATATGAGCCTGAAAATGTTTGCTCTGAATTTCAGAAGTGAACGCATAACTCTTGGGAAGCTTCATGTGCTGCCATTCCCTTTAGAAAGGAAGTATGGCAAATATCATCACGAAAGAGTTAAAAGTAGATCACAGTTTTAAATGATGAGTATGTGAAATGTATGAGGGCCACTCCAAAAGTAACTCCTCCTTTTTTATTCTATTGGCCCACAGCATCCCAGACAGATATTGGTAGTACGGCAGCAGAATGTGAACCAGAATTCCCACCAATATCCCATTGCATTTTCCTGCCACGTGACAGATGGCAGCAAAGGGGCTGCCTGACAAAATGACAGCTGACATGGAAGTGCAGGTAAAGCAAAGGTGTGTCAATGAATTCCTCCATGAGGAAGAAATGGCATCCACTGACGTTCTTCAATGCTTGGTGAACCTTTATGGAGATGAAATGGTGACGTGTCTCAGCAGTGGTGACAGAGATTGTTACAAGTGCAAAATGCAGGCTCCTGCTGGTTGCTGGCGAAAATGCATAGCTAACAGTGATGACTGTTGAAAAATAGTGTTTTGTAGCTGAGAATCTTCTCTACCAAATAATGTGGCTGTGCTCTTTGTATCTGTTGTAATTTCCATGGAAATGAATAGGAGGCATTACTTTCAGGGCAATCTATGTATATTATTGTAACTAACAGTCTATTTCAGACTTCATATTATCTTACAAAATCCAGTTTCTCTGAGGTATGCAAATGGAAGAAATTATAGTGGGTGAAATGCTTCCATAGCTGTGGAATATTTAATTCCTACTTTGAAAGAAGACTAGGATTTCACTCCAAATTTTGAAATGATTGTTATGAAGCCATGTGGTATTGCTATAAGCTCACAAATAGCAAAATTCTTGGCCTTACGTGCTGTGTGAAATTACTGCCTACACTGGCTTTTCATGTGGGGTAGTTTAACAAACTTCAGGCATCCAGTCCTAGGCCCAACTTTGCTAGCACTGGCAACAGTCATGGTTAGCAACTGCAGAACATTAAACAAGTACAAGTACCTTTTACACCTGAAGCATAAGAGAATTTTAAATGGGCAGAGCTTAATTAACGGAATTGGGCCAGCAAGCCTACTATGCAAAAATCCTCATCAGTATTTATTGGGTTCACAATCCAGCATTTAATTTTAAAGATGGTGCAACAAAGCAACATGGTGCCTTAAGGTGTAAGGAGGCAGTGTTAGTTCATCACACACCTGAAGACTACCAATCCTATTTTTGCAGTCCTGTGAAGTTTTCCTCCTAATTGCAGAGTAGTCTCAAGCCCTCTGTAGGTACAAATGTTCCTGAGGTTACAGCTGGGGAGATTACACCTGAATGATGTTCAAAGCTGGAAACAGTGTGACTGCTTAGAACCTTTCACTAGAAGTCTTTTGAATGTGAACTTACCCTAGCTCTTCTACTTACTACAAGTCCTGGATCTACCATTATTTAATATACATATTTAAATTTGGATGTGTTTAAATATTGTTGTAAACAGACTTTAAACACCATCTTTGAGTTACAAGATTAAGGAGAAAAATGAACTCCATTCTTCCAGGGTCTAAAAACCATTTTTAATACAGTTATTTGTTGAGTGCTAACAGCAGCACAAAATATGTCCATGTCATATGTCCAAATAATCAGTGGGGACTTAAAACTGTGTTCCTATCTTTGCTTAGGATGAGACCTGGCTTTCATCATATTCTTATATTTTCCTTTTCCATTTCAGTTTCTAACCTAGATGAGATGCCACAGTTTGCTCATATAAATGCATGATTGTCTGAACAAGCAGACAGAAAGGACTGCAAACACTGGAAAACATTAGACAGTCAAACTCTGCAGCAAGGTAACTTCTTTAGCATATGGCAGCCAGATTTGAGAACTGTGCTTTAATACAGAAGGAAAAGAGGGAAAAAATGTATGCAGAGAAGTGCCTCTACCTTTAGTTTTGAAAGAGAAGTTGCAGTAATTGCAGTGGTAAGGACGGACATCTGTATGTGTGCGAATGTGCTTCTTCAGCATACTGGGTTTCTTGCAACGTATTCCACACTCTTCACAGATATATTTCCCTCTTCCTCTCCCCCGGACATACACATAGTCTTCATTTGATTTGTACCTAGTAGCAGCACCATAAGAATAAGGCAATTGTAGTAGGGGAAAAGAAAAAAAAACTAGTTAGAAACCATGATCTATCAAATTTAAAAAACTATAAAAAACATAAAAACAACTTGTGCATTTATCTGCTAAACTTACAGTCATAAACATGCTTAGAATCAATGGTGTATCTTTTAAAATAAAGGTACCATTGGAGACAAATCATTTCAAGATTTCAAATTTCATCTTCACAACAAAGAATCATACTTTAAAGAGTCAGCTCTTGGAAGTAAGTTTGAGGACCACGAGAGAGCTCTAAAGGAGCATCTTTGAGGCTTCATGATGGATACAGAGAAGGAACAACAACAGTTTAGACAGTGGGAAAGTCTTTCAAAAGCTCTGTTAATGTGCTTCACGCTCAGCCTACTGGGACTGTCTCTCGATGGAAAAAGTCCCTGATGCAATCCCAGCATTCATCTCTCTGCTCATGGATGCCAAATGTTTAGCTTTTGCAACTTGCTCCCTGTAACATTTGGGGCTGTGCAGAGGCATATAGCAGTGCTCTACCAGAGTGGCTGGCAATAGCCTACCTGCTGGCCAGGACTGGGCTCAAACTATAAACCTGCAAATGGAAAGCCTACAGACTGTTAACAATTACTAGAACAATAAAATATGCACCGTTTGTGCCCAAGCTTTTACAAGTGTTATTGGCAGATTCTTCTACTATAAATCCTGTTTTATAAGATGCTGTACACGGCACAACAATGTGGCTAAAGCTAAAGCAACTGTTATTCAGATCAGGCAACTGATTTAAAACTATTGCAGTGCATGGACTAGGACTCAGTAAATATTTCCATGGCACTTTTCAAATGAGGACTTCTGCAGCCTGCATATACCCCAGCAAACTGCCAGATAGCAACTGAACTGCAGTCTGTTGCTGAGCCCTGGACTGTGTCCTCTCTGGCTACAATTACACTAGCTTACTGTAGAATACACATTATTTATCACAGAAGAGAAATACAGGAAAAGAATTTACATCTATGGCAGTATCTAGCTGCCTTTACTGCTGATTAATGTTTGCCCTTTGGAAAGAAATGAATCACGCTGCCTATTGTTCTCTATTTCATTACTCTCTCCCAACTCTCATGGCTCTGTGCTTCTGATGAATTTCCATTTTTCACAGAAGCATAAACCAACTTTCACAGACCACAGAATGGGAACTGTTGTTTAAAATAAATCTAACAGGAAGCAACATCTCTGCAAGGTCTAAAATCAAGATAAAATATCTTCCCAGCAATATCTAATATATAAAGCACAATACTTGCCCTCCATCAAAGATTTTCACCCTTCTTGGTTCGCTTTTGATAAAGGAATTTTCTTTATCATGCTCAGTGCTCGATTCGGAGCTTTCCTTATTGCTGAATTCAGATGCAGTTATTTTTTTCCTATTTAACGCTCGCTGAAAGAAAATGAGATATTCATACATTTATCATTAAAATTAGTATCTTTCATAACCATTCAAATATGTAAAGCATTAGGAATAAATGCATAACTCCTTTCACAAATCACCATTATAATAACTGATTATTTTAACATATTTTAAGATACGAGAATCAAAAAATATCTTTAACTAAATTTCTCTTCTACTAATGCTGACTATTAATGGAGTGGCAAATCTATATGGAAGTTCAGCCGGAAAACTGAAATGCTTTGAATCTACAGCAGTTGCCTCTTCCATCCTTTGGGAAGGTACAGGTGACCTTTTTTAGCTCACAGCCAATTAATGATGCTTTCTCTTCAAGGCTCAAGTCCCACGACATCTCAGTAGCACCCTCCCAGCTCCAGCTTCCCAGTGCCTACGAGGGACATGGATAGAGAAGGAAGTCCATCACCGAGAAACTCATTTCTTGTGGTCCAGCAAAGAAGAAAAAGGGAAAACTAATGGCAGGTACTAACTAGTAACGTATGCTTTCTAGTATTTTTCACAATATATTCCTGTTGTGGTGTAGGTATTGTCTGTTCTGTTTGGCAAGGTAATAATGGACAACCAGAACCCTTCCAGAGCAGGACTCCATGGCTAATCCTCACTGCCAGGCCAAATTTTAAGAGAAAATGTAACAGTGGTCTAGCAGAACAAAAACGTGTTTCTCAATTACTAATGAACTTTTTTCCCCTCAAATATAAAAAAAAATTAAAATTGCCAAATAACATCTATTCCTTCCAGAGTCTAGGATATTTATAAAATGGGCAACAATGAAGGAAAGATCCAATTAGCCAGCAATTATTACTGCTGTATTTATAAACTGTTCTACCCACATAGCTGGCATACTCACCACATTTGCTCATATTGATAAGTGAATAAAATGATGGGAGAAAAAAGACTGGCCTTATGTTTTCTACTCATTATAAAATCTAATGCTGCAAGCTTGAGAATTCTTGCCAAGAGGAATGGCTTTGCTGGCTGACTTGAAATGACTGATGCTTTACGAGCACTGAAGGGTGACGCTGTTCTGGGACCCAGTCCCTGCTCATCATCCACCCCAAGATCTCAGCATCCGTCTTCCCTTCTGAGGTGGACCATGGCTGATGAGGAATTAACACAAATCAGAGGAAGAGTGACTGCCTATCAGATTCAAAGACCTAGGAATATGCACAGGCTTGCATGTACAGCTCCAAGCCATATGTGTTCATGTGGTTCTGACATTGATTTGGGCTGGATTTTCAAGCATATGAGGAGTCCTACCAAAGCATAAATGACAACCAGGCCTGAGTGTAGGAAGAAAGAAATTTCACCCTACGTGTTTTAACAGTATTCATACAAAGTGGAGGGTGGTGATGTATAGGATAGGAAATATCAGGAGATGAGCTTACTCTACCAGTTGCAACTCAACTACGTAATAGTTCCTGTAACGCTATCTAGCACATGAATTGCTTTTGTTTCCACTGCAAACAAAGAGTAACCAGGTGACATTTGTAATTTAACAAGGAAAAGAGTAGTGTAAAAAAACCAGAACATATGCAATAAATCCAATACCACATAAATATCCTCTGCAGCTGGAATAACACAATCATTAAGTAACTGATCAAGGATAAATGCTAAATATTTTTTCCACATTTCAATTTCAATAATAAAAAGACAAAGAAAAAAAAAAGATTCCAAATGTATTGGGTCCATGTCATTATATAAACTATGGTGAAACGCTGTTATAATATATAATATATTCACAAAAGTACTTAGAGTGCAAAAGCTAACACCAGGCTAAATACCTCTGGGATTTTCCCCTCCTCTCCACCCACTTTTTTTTTTTTTTTTTAATACACACAATTATGTACAGAGATAAGACAAGCTAACATGTTCAAATTACTATCTACCTCCCACTGATGTACTTTAATTTACTGGTTATATGCTACTTTTAGCAGCTCTTTCAGTGTCTTTAACATGCAAAATACTGCCTTTCCAGAAATGCTCCGATAGAAACACTGAGTTTGCCAAAGAAATCTAGAGAGGTGCTCACAGGTAATGAAGAAAACTGCTTAATTTTTATGAAAATTTCCACGTTGAAGAAGATTTGGCTCCCCTGTAAATCTATGTGCAATCAGTTTCTAGCTGCATGGGTTTCCCGCATGAAAATTCTTTACCATACCTCACCTAAAACCTAAGAACTCCCCACACATGCCAGTGGGAAGGGCAGAAAAATGGCCATGTTGTAAAACGTTCCTCTCCACAATTGCTTACAGCTTCCATTTGTAGCAGTTTTCTCTCTCCTGCCATAGAGACAAAAGACCATGATTCATTTCTACTTTATTCGTTTTGATCCAATTTCACCCCACAGTCTCCAATTACTGGTATAAAACTGGAAAAAACCTGCTGTTAGGGCTGCCCAGAGACCAAGTTCAATAGATACTTCTGGTACTTTAAAACATAACTTGGGAAAAAAAATAACAACAACAAAAAAACCCAAGCATGCTTGGAGCCTGAATCATTGAAGTTATAAATTTCAGATTATAGTATTTACTAAACATTTTTCCCACTGGCACGAAGCCACTAGAGAGAAATGTTTTTAATATCTTTAAACTTTTACTAGTTCACACATAAAAATCTTCTGCATTTAACTACTTTCCAGCGGTGAGCTGGACTGTTGTGGCTCATTATCCAAGAAAGGAAACCTTTGCAGTCAGTAGAAGCTGTCCATTCTTCAGCCTATTTACACTGGGAGATCTTCACGTTGGCATACTCCAAACTTGACTGACTCATTTCAGAGAGGGAAGCCAAAATCAATGCAGAGAATAGAGAAAGAGCCCCTGATGCAACACCAATGAGCTCAGGCAACAAAACCATTCAGAAAAGAGGAAAAAAACCAACCAAACAAAGGAGATGAAACAAGCCTTTTGCATACAGGTGAGCCCCACGTTACATTTTAACATGCTGCATTCATTCCAGAAACTTCTTTCACAGTACCATTTTGTGCTTTGTTCTTCAAACCACTGGAACGTGGCAACTTTACCTATTGCCTCTGAGCAGTGAACTGTGAAGAGCAAACAACGTGCTGGGGTTCCTCCTTGTTCGCATTTTGCTCACGTGTCTCTTCGTTTCCCACTGCTAAAGAACTGCCTTCTTGGCTATGATTAGCAGTGGTCAGCAACGTGAGCTCTCATTAAACACAACCAGGTTCTGGGGGCAAAACCAGGGGTTGCTCATGAAGTCGCTTTATCTCTGTAAGATTTGCAGACACAGCCACCCCAGCAGAATGCTACACGTTGCTCCAAGAAGAGTTGTGACTGTGTGAGAAGAGGTGAGGGATAACAGCACCACTTCTCTGCTATTACTTATAAACTGCACTGTGATAATACTTGAAGCTGCCTGTCTGGTCAGGGTTAAAATTGCAAGCCATCTGATAAAACATCCGAACGATGGTCACAAACCCCAGAAAACTGGCAGCCCGAACTGTGGTTGTCCAAGGATCTTGGTGCCCTGCCAAGCTTTTAAGCAAGAAATCCATCACATTTTTCTTTCTTCCTTTTCTTTCTTTCTTTCTTTTCTTTTTTTTTTTTTTTTTTTTGGAGATAACAAGAGAATTACTTTGTTAATTTGTTTTCTTTTCCAATTTTCGTTTAAAATGGAATAATAACTTCCCAAAGGACTGTCGATGTTCTCTACTAGGAAAGCCACTGAGAGAATTAATGGGCATGAACAGGATGGGGAAGTTAGTTTTTGTTTTCATCCAGGACAGCTTCTAAGATGACACTAACTAGACTCTTCCTTGAGGGCACCAGCCATTCCATTACCAGGTCAAACTGGAGATCAGTAATACAGAGCTGTCTTCTGACAGCATCCTCATCATCCTGAAAACGGCTGAAATGCTCCTGCCTGAGTCACTGAAATAAAATGAGGCAAACTCTGGAGGTCTTAGGTCACAGTACCTAGCAAGCCTTTCATTTCTTTTTTCCTGCCTTCTAAACCTTGCTCATACAATCTAAGATGCCATTTAAACTTTAATTGGTCATTTCTCACTGTACGCTCTTCCTATGTAACAACCCTGAAGGAAACCTATAAATCAGCCCCAAGCAGAGCTTCAAAACTCTTCATCTTCCCTGTGCCAGCACGCTTCATTCAAAACATCAGCAAGAAAGAATGAAGAAAAATTGATAACTATGGCTCTTTTGTGGAAGAAGCAGTACAAATGTACCTGACAGCTGCCTATTACAGCATTTAAGAACTCCTAAAGTGTTTAAAAGAGTGCTGTCATAATATTTCTCAGAATATTGTTACCTATTACTTATATTCTAAACAGAATTTGTTTGTTGATAAAATTTATTCCTCATGAAGCACACAACAGCTTTGTAATCAGAGCATTTCAACTAATAGGCCATTCTTTAAAAATGAAACAAATATGAGTCAATTACAAAACTAAAGAGAGACTTGACTTGCCTTCCTTAGAACAAAATGCTCAACTAGACATGATTCTTTTTAATAATTAAGCACTATTTAAGTACATCTCATAGATCACATGAGGAAGCAGGCTGAAAAAGTATGAGTTCAAGTAAAAGGAGGCATGCTAATATGGATCCAGTACTTGAGTTCACTTACAGCACTAGCACCAAGTCAGCAGTCTATTTATCTGTAATGTGTTATACAGAAAATAAAGTTTTGACCTCCAAAATGAACGTTAGTGAAATCTCTCACTGGTATCAAGATGTCCCAGATTTAACTCTAATGCTCTTTGGGCTGTAAGCGTTTCTGGATATCATCTCAAATCTTCCTGTAATTCTGAAACTATTTCTTACTATTTCTTACACAGTTTCTCATCTTGCAGCTCTTTTCCCCACTGTCAACTCTGTATTTTAGCAAAACATTTAGCAAACACAGGAACATCCTGCTGTGATCTTTAACAGCATTGGTCTTCATCACTCAACATCACCAGGACTATACATCTTTTCCCAAGGCTGCAGTATGCTTCCTCTAGAGTGACTACAGGCCCTATAGGTCTTGATTCCCAGCCTGAAGCCCAGAAAGATTTTCTGAGAGCAGACTGCAAGATTAGGGCAAGCAATAATTGTAATTACTCTTCCTCCCAAATGGTTTATACATGGTTTATATGAAATAGGCAGCCTTTGAGTGATTCTGGAGGAACATTGCTCCACGGCCTCCAATTTTTGCAGGTTCAGAAGAGAAGCATAGAAACAATCATACGCAGTGCAGGACAGAGGAGAAAGAAGAGCACAAAATCACACTGTAGACCAAGGCTCTCCTTAGTGAGCTTTATGGCTTCGATCGGTGAGCCATTGCTGGCTAGCACTTGATCCATTAGACACAGACACCCACTGCCATACTACAGGGCCAAGTGTTGCATTTACCAATTCACAGAGGCACATCAATTATGCAGGAAAGTCAAATTCAACACAAATCTCCATATGGTCCAGTATTGAAATCCTGCTGGTATCTATGCAGCCCTAAGGTGGTTAATGAAATAAATTGCATCTGACTCTGGAATTACATAGTGTTTTATGTACATCATAAACATCACCCTGAATTTATTCCATTGCACAAGATTTAATAGCATTTTTGGATTCATACTGATCTAAGAAGTTGTCAGTATTTAAATGGAAGCTGCAATTCTGTTTTAAATTTCATTATTTTTGGCATTATTTCACACTGTCAACTAACCTAGGTGGGAGAAAGGGAAGTGGTACACTGTTCCTCCCACACTAAATGATCAGCAGTGGTGAAAAATATCTTTACTACGTATCCATGGACACCTGTTCACTCTAAGCACACTCTTATAACAGAAAATACCAGCAGATTTTTAAGGCAAAATATGCAATTATGATCTGAAATTGACCTGTTTTAAGTTGTGAGTGTTTAAAAAAATACTTGTACCGGAACTACTTTTGTTATATCCTTTGTACTTAAAAAATAGCCAAACGCATTTCTGCCATAATAAATACTTCAAATACAGATTTAAATCCAGGAACTAATTTCCATGAAAAGAGATAAATGTTTATGAAGAGGTTTCTTAATGGAATTAGTTTGGATCTCTTTAGCGGTTTGATCCAGCGTAACAGAAATAAATAAGCACATATATTATACATGTCAGGCATATTGCATTCTCCAAACTATGAAGCAGCATGATTTCCAAAGCAAATCCTCTGTAAATGATAAATATACATCAGGCACAGATTAAGTACCTTGGTTAAGCTGTTCTTCCACTTGCTTGAATAGACCAGTATATCCGACCTGGGATGAGTAGTTCTTGCTTGGGTGTACAGCGGTTTTTCCACTTTCTGTTTTGAGTTGAGGAGAGAAAGAGCTACCTTTGTTGACAAACCTAGTGGATTGGGATTGCTGGGACTAATGGTCCACGTAGAATAGGCTGAAATCTTCTGATCATTTTGCAGCAGGTGTAGTGGTTTCCTCTTCAAGAGATAACACCAGGTAAAACTTGTTGAGGTCTTGAGGCTTGGAAATGACAACCTCTGCATTTCTCCTGCATTCATCACAGCTAGTGTAGTCAGTAGCTTTGCTTGGCCCTGGCTATTAATTAGCTCACTCTCATGACTATTACCTGGGGACCTTCTTTCTTGACTGCTGCTTACTGCCTTTCCAACAGAGCTCTGACTACTCACTGGAGATGGTTCAGATGGTTTTCTAACTACAAACACCGGTGATGCTGAAGACTTAAGGTCTTCTGATTCTGATGATTCCTTCGGAGTTTCTGAAACACCAGTTTCAGATGAATGACGGTTAGGCAACAGCAGGTCTGAAGTACTGGCTTTGCTGCTTTTTTCATGCTGTGCAACACCATCAGGATCTAAGAGGTGATTTTCCAGAGGTTCTGTGGTGCAAACCTGTCTCACCAAAACAGGTTTCTTTTGCTTACCAATAGGGTCATTAGATCGAACATTCAGTGGATGCAGTGGCCCAGCTTCTGTCATGCATGCAGCTCCACTTTCATCTTTAACACGTTTCTGCTGTTTTTCCATGGCAATATCCAAACTGTTGGCCGGGGAAAGCATTCGTTTACTTGAAGCCGTAGCTTCTTGTTGAGGGAAGAGTCCACTCACTGGCACTTTCTGAATAATATTCAAAGAGCTTGACAAAGGTGAGTTTCTGGTTCCACTTTCTGGTAGCGGATTTTCAAATTCAAATGAATTTGGCAAAGTCCTCTTATCTTTGTGAGATTTTGGCAGCTGAGCTTTGCCTTCAAGTGTTGGCAATGTCACAGCATTTGTTTTGCAAGCGGATTGGCTTACCTGATCCTGAGTCACTAAAATGTGAGGAAGGGGTGTAACAGTTGCAAAGCCATACGATGGCATGCTACTGTGAATACGGACAGGAACTACAAAAGGAGGCATCTGATGCAACTGACTGCTGCAGTTGTTAGGGATAATCTGTTTTAGAGGAGGCACAGAGTATGGGTTAGACATACTGTCGGATAGTTTAGCCTGCAGCTCAAAAGAGGGCATGTTCTGGTCCACCCCAACGTGACTTGAGACGGACTGACTTGATAGATTATTTTTTAGCAATTTTGAAGAGTATGGCTGACTTATATGTAATGTTTTAACTTGGAGCTGATATTTTGGAGCAAAGCAATCTCTCTTCTCATCAGGATGACAAGACAGTGTGTTCGTATTCACTTGTGCCCCTTGGGCTGATTTTTTGGTAGAGGTCTGGGAAAGCTGATGCATTGAAGATGTTTGTCCTTGATTATTCAAAACATGATCTAGAGGCTGCTGAACCAAAGACATATTACCTGGATTGCAATTTTGAATTGCTGAGTGAGGCCTTGAGTGTGTTTGCGAATGCTGAGTACTTGAAGGAAACTTCACCAAGGATTTGCTGGAGGTCTGCAGCCTGTGAAATGGCACATCAGTAGCATGGGCTGTCTGAAAAGAAGAAGTTGATTTAACTGGATGACTTTCTGGAGCAATGTTTAAAGATATTTGTCTTACAAATGGCCCCCTCCTTCTTTCTAGCAGAGGCACATGTCCAGTAACCCCATTTCCAGATGACAGTTTTGGAGCAGCTGTCTCTGTGAGTGAGGCAGGTTTTGATGGAGATATGTTTCCACAATCAAAAGACTTACTCCTGTAGTCTACCTCCATTGAGGGCTGTGTGCAGCTGATCTGCTCTGATGCAGCGCGCCTCATTTCCCTATAATGAGGGCCAGGCACGCCCAGAATGTGAGAGCCAGCAGGAATCATAAGGAATTCTGCTGACTTATTAGCAAGCTCTGTTTTGGAAGGATTGTCCACCTTTGAAATTTCATCTTTATCGAGTGAAGCTGAAAAACTGGAAGCATGAGACAAACTACTTTCTCGACTCAGACTTCTCGAAAGTGTGGAGTCAACACTGGATTCAGCAGATGAATGCTCCATTTCAGCCAAGCGAATTCTTTTCTTCTTTGGTGGGAGTTTTTCTGTTGGCAATTTAGACAGTGTTTCACTGCGCTGTGGCCAGTTAAATCTTTCTGTCTTTTCTTGATCGCTGCATTGGTTTTCTTGGTCCCTGTCTGGTTCTTCTGTGACCAGTATTTCAGGAACCTGGATGTTATGCTGGCGAACAAGTCTTGATGGTTGCACTGGGATGCTTCTCTCATTAGAAACTATTTGGCTTCCCTGCACTTCCCCTCTAGCTGCTTCCGATGACAGTGGCTGATGATGCTGGGAAGTAGCCAGATGCGAGTGTCTATCCTCTTGGACTGCAAGTGCGTTCAAAGAGAGGTGTTTTGCAACCTTGTTGGGCTCTTGAAATGAAACTGGTGATACTCTTTCAAAGGATTCAGATTTCTCGAACGAGCTATTTCTGCTCAGTGAATTGGTGTGCTGTATTACTGAAATGCCAGTCCCTTGCCTTTTCAATTCCACCTTTTCTTGCATAACTGAACTTGTCTGCTTTTCAGCGAGCGGAGACATCTTTGTCTCGGCAGTCAGATCTGTGCCTTGAGCCACAAGCTGAATCTGTGAACTTTGAAGTAAAAGGCTACTTGGTTGTTGTGAACCTAATACTGTTGCACTGTGTTTTGACAGACTGGAAGAATTTGCTGGCTTACTTTGGCTTTCAGCATTCTTTGATGGCATACTTGTGTCATTCTGCTGTGGGTCATCATCATCTCCGACACTTTTCATTTTTCTTCTTTTCCTTATTTGGGGCGTCTGTTCCCAGACACCAGTTGAAGTAGTGACTCTGTAGTGCAGCATTTGAGGCTGTGTACTATTCGGAACAGTTTTATGCTCAGGCTCTCGAATTGCTGCTTTCGTTTTAGGTCCGTGCAACTCTGAGCAGTAAAATTTCTTGTGGTTTTCAAAATTTTCCAGTTTTCTATACCTGTTTCTGCAGGTTTCGCACTCAAACATTGTTCCTCGTACCTGAGGGGTCTTCTTTGTTTTTTCTAAACTTGGTGCCTGAGCCAGGGACTTGCTTCTCTGCAATAAAGAGTCATTTGATAAATTACATCCCAGATAACCTTCTTCTACAGATCGTGCTGGTCCAAGAACTTGGCTTTCACCAGTAGAAGAATCTTCTATTGCTGCCTGTCTAACAAGAGTCCGAGGATGTCCACCCTGGTTCAGTGGAGCAGCAGGTCCAGATACAAAAACATCATCGTATAAAGAACCAATTTTATCGTCAAATGACTGACTTCCTCGAAGTGGATGAGATGGTGGTATTACATTTGGAGGTACTGCTGAATAACTGGTAGTAGGCATGGAATTACTCCGTGTAATAGGCAAACAGTCAAGAGATGGTACAGAGAGAAGAAAAACTTGCTTTGATTTTTCAGTGGGTGTGAAAGGAGACTTTGGTATATCAGAGCTCGAACTAGTTCTTCTTCCCATGGGCTTTAAATCAAACTGGAAAGAATCCTTAAATATGTAGGATTTCGGTGAATCTATACTTCCTCTTCTTGAAAGAGACGTTCTTCTTGGTTTCACGCTATCTAACTGTTTGTCATCCACAACGGCTTCATTATCAGAAATCAACTTTGAGATACGCTCCTCGAGGGTTTTTGTTGCCATGGGAGGTCGCATTTGGCCAGAAAGAATCAAATTTTTCTCAGCACAAACAGTTTGCACCACTGATGCCACCACTCCACTTGTTCGTGGCGCAGAAGGCAAACTCTTATTTGAGTCCTTCTCAGAGGTCAGCAGTCCTCTTACGAAAGGAGCTGGTGGGCTCATTGTTTGATCAGCACTTTCAGAACGAGAGAAATAACCAGAATCAGTACTACCTAAACTTCTAGGGCTCAAAAGACATTTTCCTTGCTGGTCTTGGGAACAATCTGTTGCCTGCTGTCTCTGAAGCTGAGCATGCACTGCTCCTACTGCAGATCCCAGCTGCTCCTCTAATGAGCCCATTTCTGTTTTCTGATGTTGCTTTACGTGACTGTCTTTGAGTGATGCTGTATGTGTTAAATTTGACTGAAGATCTGTTGCTTTAAAATCTCCTTTTCTCTGTGTTGCTGCAAGCTCAGGTGTTGGGTCTTTTACTTTGGGGCTGTCAGCCCTTAATGGAGAAACACTTACAGGGTGAACTACTACTTTTGGCAAAGCTGCCCTTACTTGCGGTTCTGTATCGTGTAATGAAGAATCACCTGGTATGCAGTCTGGATTGCTTAGTGGAATAGGGCTTTCTTTCTGTAACGTTTCTGCACTTGAAATGACTTTCACTATTTGTGCAGGTTCCAGTTCCTGATCGTCTTGTCTTTCATCAGCAGTACCTTCATCTTCACTTTCACCACTTTCTTCTACGTCTGAATTAATGCTAAGTGCTTTGTCTGAGTCATGGGATAAGAAGAGACCAGCAGATTCCGGTTGTAGGACAAGTCCAAGTTTGATAGCATGTGCATGAGATTTTTTGTGCTTGTACAGATTGCTTTTGGTTTTAAATGAAAATCCACATGTCACACAAGGATAAGGTCGTTCTCCAGTATGGGATCGGATGTGCTTTTGGAGAACACTGGGCTTGGCACAGGCCCGATTGCAATACTCACAGACATACTTCCCTAGCTTTTTAGGCTTCTGGTCTTTCAGGAGGTTACATATTTGTTCTACACCATGGTTTACAACTGATGCTATCTGGGCTGAATTATACACGGGACCTATAGACAAATGTGTTGAACTAGATGTGTTAATTGACAAAGGTGAAGATGAACTTGTTACTAACTGGTTTTGAGGAAAAACCTGAGTTACTGTGGAAGATGAAGTGTGAATGCCAGATGAAGTTACTGCTATGCTGTATATCTGCTGGAGCTTGGGGTTTTCTTGGCTCTGCTGCTGCACCACAGATCCAGTGAAACTTGGACACACAACAACCTGGTGATTTTGTTGACTGGTTTTAGTAACAAGATCCTGCGAAGGAGAAATGGTCTGGACCTGTGCTTGTCCGCTCTTGGCTGCTGTTGCTACATGCATGTTGTTTAATGTACATGGGAAATAACGAGGTCCAGCAGCAAACTCATTCTGTGACAAAGCAGACTGATTCTGGATGCTCACTGTATTGGACACGAGACTAGCAGAGGTGCTTACAGTTTTATTTGGTCTCAGTTTCTCTACCTGCATTCCGTAAGGGGGACACTCTTGTGCTAAGGTGTTCAGTTCAGGCTCCATAGCTTTTAATAAGACATCAAAAGCAGTACGTGTACATGGGGAAGATGTACTACCATCAGCAAAAGTAATACATTCATTACTGTCAGTCTTTGTTTTACTTGATAAGGACTTGGAGAGAGACTTCTTCTCTGGCAAGCTTAGCTGGTTCACATCAGAATCCTCCACTGCCTTCTTATTCAAGTCTAAGGACTGATGTGTTGATGAAAGCTTTGTCCGCATTGGTATCTCAGATTTGGTTTCAGTGCTTATCTCGCTACTAAGCACTCCCCCATTTTGTTTGGTGCACTGATTTCCATTTTGCACAGGTAAGTGATCTTGTGCTGTGGCATGTTCTGAGGCATCCTGAAGAACTTTCAGAGGTGAAGGGTCTATATTTTGTTTAACCTTGGCTTCCGTAGGGTTTCTCAAAGGCGATTTTGGTATTTTTTTTAGATGGTTTTCAGTCACGATTTTTTTTCTTTTCACGCCCTTAATTGTATCTTGGTTTCCTCTAGTACCAGAATCTGTGATTTCTGTTAAAACACAAAGAGAGTAAGAAAGAATATTAAAATGGAATAATGCAGTTATATTTTTATTTATACCATTTTATCATCTCTAAACTTTAACTGTAAGAGCAGTTCACAGAGAAAGCCCTGGGGCAACAGGACTGTCCAAATATCCTGCCTCCAATATTTCTGTAATTGTAAATGTATCTTACCAAAGGTCTATTTTGTTTTCATCTAGCAAGTGTAATGTTTATTGATGTTACAAGACATTACAAACGTAATACACTATAGGATAGGCTTCAAAAATATATATAAAAGAAAGGCTACTGAAAGAATATTTTCGTATTCATAGCAATTCTTTTTCAGATGAAGTAAAAAGAAATCTCTCTTCTGCACTTGCTCAAAAATTGAAACCACTGCAGAAGGAAAATGAAGAACCAAGACACAGATCCATTTTCATGTTGTATTTGTCACCTTTTCTGTCTATACGTCGTACTACTCAAGGACTGCAGACATCTTCCTCGTCGTTATATTTGTAAGTAGATTTATCATGGAAATGACACAAACCACCCACACCATCTGTCAGATACTGTATTTCAGACCTCCAGTTACTGAACTTCCAATAGCATTTCAGATGAGCAACTATGGCAGATAAATAAAATCAGTCGCACTTCAATGATTTTCTATTTGTGCATCATGAAACAAAATAAACTAAATTTGAATTATTTCATTACTTGCTACACTTGTTGCTGATCTTAAGCAGGTATGCACAAGGGGCTTCAGGAATGTAGCCAAGAGCAAACAGTTTGAAATATTATTCAGCAGAATGATTTGTAGCTAGTAGATGTATTTCTAAAGAGCCCAACCTCCCTGTAACAAAAAATACACTTAGACTCAATTTCAGATTTGATTTTTATGAACTTGTTTTTCACTAGCTACCTGGCATTACATACCTCTAAGTATGATGCTGCTAAGATAAACAATCTGTCAGTTGATTATGTTTAACCTACTTCCCAGCATACAAACACTTCATCAGAGCCACTGTCTTACCTAGCATCACTGGCAGTTACTGCAGAAAAAGCTAAATATTAAATGGGTGCAAATCCATTTAATCCAACTTTTATAACGGGTTGTTAGCTGAAAAACATATTTGTCTGATTGCCAGAGTTCAATGCAAAGTAAGGATCTGATGTGACAAGAAGTCTGATACCTCTGAAATATTCAGCTGCACACACACTTTGGGAAGCAGTACTAACTGCATGTAGCAGGGTTACCTGCACACAGAGGTACTCAGGTACAGAGGTTTACGTACTCTCCTAGGTAAGAAAAGCCTTACGACTACATACAAGTGGACAGATTCTCAGTTAACTTCTCAAGCAGATTCATGGAGAAAACTCAAATTTCCCAGTACCAATCCACCCTACAACTCCCCTTCAGTGGCACAGAGTATCCTGTATCCTCTAGCAGAAACACCAGCTGGCTTCAATACGTGGTGGGAGGAAAGCCAACACACAATGTGCATCTGACAAGAGATACTGGTGCTGATGAATCCAGCATGAAATTCCAGCTCCATTTAAAGAAAATTCAGGCAATGTCTAAAGCCTGTCTAGGAATGAGAAAAGAAAGTGACCAGTGAGAAAAGCAGGATAAGAAGATGACCTGACTACTTGGTGCAAAAACATAACCCGACTGGACTGTGTGCTAAGGCCAGGGCTTGAGAAGCCCAAAATCTTGTTTTCAACTCATTGCCAACTTAACATACACATACATTCAGGTAGAGCAAATGGCTATTGAGACCATTTCCCAGCAAACAGAATGATTAATGAATAAACATCATACGTAATGCAATGCACATGTGAAAGTCCTGTGGAACCTGACCTGCTGCTCTCCCAGCCCTACCAGAGGAAATTTAACCGTGAAGAGTGAGACAGGGCTTTGTCACATTCTGCCATCATGGAACAGAGGTGCTAGAATCCCTCTCTAGAAATACTACCTCTGAAATTCCTGCTGTGAGGAATTCATGCTCATCTTGTGCACACAGGAAGAAATTTCTGCACTGACTGCTCATTTAACGACTGAATGAACTTTGCAGTTATTGCTTTAGCACCAGAACTTATGCGTATTAGTCTGGATTTAGCAAATTCAAAGCACAGCTGTCTTCCATCACAATGTTTTGTACTTTCCACCACTTCCCAACTAAATGTGTGTCTTACACTAATATTATTAGTGGCAATTTCTTTAAAATTGGTGAGAGTCTACTGCATCTGTTTTTACAATAACAACAAAACCAATTTCACATGAATCAGAGAGAAAGCATCAAGATAATTATATAAAAAGGTGCTTTTAGCCATGGCTTGGTGATCTCTTAGAAGCATGACCGCATGAATTGACTGTAAGTAAATTGGTTCCTTTTAAGCACACGCTGCAGCTTTTTATCCTGTCACACTCACGCCCCCACAGCCATCATCACACTGCTGGTGGTGGTGCTGGACTGAGCACCTGGGCAAAAGCTGGGTGGATTACATGTGACTAGGAAGACAAAAGTGCCACCAACAGCAAGCATCCAGGCAGACATACGCAGAGATACCAAGGTGTTTTATAATGAAATAACTGAACAACCAAATGATGTGCTTCTCAATGCCTCAGGCTGTTAAACAGCTATCATGCCTGGGCTTCAGTGCTACAGTGCAGAGGAAAAAGCACACTTTACAAGCACCACGACAGAGACTGGAAGCCTCAGCATGGCTGAAGGATGTGGTGTGGCTTGAAAAAGCCTTAAAAACAGTATTAAAAAACAAAATTAAGCAATTAAAAACATGAGTCATTATGAAAATAACACCAGCATTTTCTGTAATCTATTTACTGCTTTACTTAAAAAAAAAAAAAAGTATCATTCAATCATGCAAACTCATAAAAATTATTCAAAAAAGAAACAAAAAAAAAAATACAGGAAAAGGCAAGTTATGCATTACATATAGTAATATTCACTTATTTTAGTCTTCATAAATTCATAACTCTGCTCTGTCTAGAACTGTGAAATTCCAGTCTACGGAAATGATGAGAATTAGTTTCTTATTTCTACATCTTTTGCAATTCTAGAGATGGGGTCTCATCTTTACTTCATTATGTCTGCCCATAAAATCCTGTTAAATATACTTTCTTTACAATGGCTTTGCAAAGCTTAATGATAATACAAGCACTGTGCTGAACTTTACTCCTTGATAGCTTAGAAATACTTACTGTTGAAGGAAATACTCTCTTCATGTTTGCTAGCAATCAAATTTCTAGCATATTAAAACAAAAACAACAACACAAAAGGAACACCTGACAACATATTTTCACCTATTTTTAACGTTTTGTTCCTTGTAAGCCTTCTTTTTGTATTCCCCATTCAAGCTGAAGACATTCCATTATGCACTTGTTAACCTGCAGCTAAATGGCTGCAGAAAGATCAGCTGCATCCGTACTTCTACAGGAGATAAAAGGAATGGCACAAAGCACGGGTCCCAGAATGCTGACCCTTCCTGTGCCTTTGGGAGCCACAGGAGGCTGATACCTTGCCAGGGTCACAAACCAACAAGGTGAAACTCAACAAAGGGAATGCAAAACAACCCGATGTGAAAGGGGGTTGAGGGGAAGCGGATTTCCTTTTCTTACTCTTTCCCACTCCACTCTGCTCGCCTCCCCGTGCACTCACAAAGCCCTTCACCTGGTGGTGAAGCTGCTACAGCAATTCTTCTTTTTAGGTGGTGAAGTGGTTTTGTTGCCAAGTGCTGTCACTTCAGTCAGATGTCTGAAATGCATCTTATTCATGTCATCAAATAGGATCAGGTCACCCAGTCTAAGAGGAGAGGTAACAATGCCATTATGCATAACATATCACTTTTCAGATACCAGAGCATCTCTTTCTTGTGCTATCTGGTTCTGCTTTGTTCTGCTTTGCTCTCAGGACTCTCTTAATTATTTTGCTTCAATATCACTTCTGCGCTCAAAATATTCCACACTTCTAAACATGACTTTATTCATCTATAATTTCTTTACTGAACCTGGCTCTGTGCACAGGAAATAGAGCAAAAGAACACAAGTGTGATGGTGTCGATAGCAATTTAGAGAAGTAACTCATGCAGCAAATAAAGGAGGGGTATAATAAAGATCTGAGTTTTTCTTCTCTAGCATTCGCTGGTGAAGTAGGCATTGTCTTGACAAAATGATCTCAATGGATTTGTTTAAGCAGCTTTCAAAACTGCCTGTCTCAAAGCCTGTAAGTTATTATAACACCCACTCTCTTTCTTTCCCTTCCAGTAGAGTTCTGTGCTTGTACTTAAAGAACTGAAGCAAACCACCAAACTCCCTTTTTTCCCCACCAGAATGCTGTGAAGCATTTAGCCAGCAACCACTACATATCCCTACAGTCCAATGAATGGCACAATTTCCATCCTCTTTTGTGTTTACTTAATATTGCAGAATTCTTCAAATCACTGCACACAAAGATTTTCAACATATGTACCTAAATCTCAGAGCCTAAATCTGAACTTCAGCTCCCGGAAGCAAAATCAACGTGTTCAGAACGTGTTTAAGTATTAATGAATTAATATTGTATCTTAAACACACAGCCAAAAGGTTACTGACAATTAATAACAGTAGACATTCAAAGATGGAAGGCTCTTCAAAAGAGAGAGGCTGTAACTGAGGATCTTATTCTGATTAAAGCTAAGCTTCCCAGTGCTTTAAAATATTCAAAGTATTCTTGTATTTGACATCTGATGCTTATTTAATTTTGAGTTCAGTGAAACCATTGCAAAGCAGCCATAAATCACCCCACTGGGCCTGTTTCCATGAATAAGTAAAAGAACATGATTATGAGATAAAGAAATAAGTCTAACCAGCAAATTTAAGGCCACCAGAACTTACATTAAACGCAGCAGGGCATAACTAAGCTTTCATTATTATTTTTTCTTATTATTATTAAATGACCTCTTTAGCTTCATGCAAGCTAAGTACTGCCACAAGTATTTTTCCTGAAATTA